GACAGAACCTGAGACCCTGGCCCTGCTGGAAGTGAAGGGGCCGGAGGCCCTGGAGAAGAGCCCACCCCAGGCTTTGGTCCCCAATGGCCGGAAGCTGGAAGGGGAAGATGGGGTTGAGTCCCCTGGAGCTGAGTCCTCCAGAGCGGGATCTTCAGCTGGGTCTCCCATAGCCGGAGAGGGGACGGAGGATGGTCTAGACAGCACAGTAAGTGAGGCTGCCACCTTGCCCTGGGGGACTGGCCCCCAGCCCAGTGCCCCGTTCTCAGATCCCCCTGGCTGGAGGAACATTGAGCCTGAGCCCCTTAAGTCAGAGCCACCCACCAAGCTAGAGGTGTTGCCCGAAGACGACGCCAGCCTGCTGCCCGAGAAGGTGGCCCGGGCCTTCGTGCCCATCGACCTACAGTGCATTGAGCGGCGGCCCCAGGAAGACCTCATCGTGTGCTGTGAGGCCAGTGAGGGTGAGCGCCGCCAGACCTTCCTGCCCACCCGGGCCACCCACCCTGAGCCCCCGGAGCGCAAGTGGGCCGAGGCAGTGGTGAGGCCGCCTGGGTACTCCTGTGGGTGCTGCAGGGGACACGGAGGCCATGAGGGGCTGAGGGCCATAGCCTCGGTGGGAGCCGCCCTCATCCTCTTCCCCTGCCTGCTCTATGGGGCATATGCCTTCCTGCCCTTCGATGCCCCGCGCCTGCCGACCATGAGTTCCCGCCTCATCTACACGCTGCGCTGCGGGGTCTTTGCCACCTTCCCCATTGTACTGGGTGAGCCTGGGCCCTGCAAGAAGGGAGGGGGCATGTGGGAGCTCGGCTGGAGGGCAGGGCCTGCCTGGCTTGGGGAGCAGGAGAGTTTCCCTTCACTAGACCTGGACCCTCAGGGCCTCCCACACCCTGTCACCCCTGTGTGCCCACCTCCTCCTAGGACCACCTCAGCCCCACCCACGGTGCAGAGCCCATGCCCATGAGCTCTCTGCTACGAACCCTGCCTCCAGCTTCCTGCCTGCCGCTCCTCTCCTGACCCTACGTGTCCTCCAACCCTACCCAGGGATCCTGGTGTACGGCCTGAGCCTGTTGTGCTTTTCTGCCCTGCGGCCCTTTGGGGAGCCACGGCGGGAGGTGGAGATCCACCGGCAATACGTGGCCCAGTCAGTCCAGCTCTTCATCCTCTACTTCTTCAACCTGGCCGTGCTTTCCACCTACCTGCCCCAAGACACCCTCAAACTGCTCCCTCTGCTCACTGGTCTCTTCGCCATCTCCAGGTGAGCTGGGGCTGGGGGTGGGGCAGAGGGAGGTGCTGGTGCTCAAGAGGCCCAGGCATCTGAATGTCTGGAGAGCCAGGGAGATTTCTGGATTCTGCATCAGCCCAAATGTGCACCCCGGAAAGTTGAGTCACTTTCTTCCTTGCACTTTACCTCACCTGGTAGCAGGTGATCAGCTCATATGTCTTTCATAAGATACATGTATCAACCTAGAACTGGAAAGGCTTTCAGGTGTCACCTAGACCAACCTCCCACCCATTGCAGCCACTCCTCTGTGGCACTCTGGTCAGGTGGCCATTGGCTGAACATTGGTTGAACAGCCCCTGTGACCAAGTGCTTAGTTCTTTATAAGGCAGTCTTATTTCATTTTTCAGAAGTCCTAATTATTAGAAAGTCCTTTTTTATATTGTGCTAAAAACTGCTGCCCTGACTCTGACCTCTGTAATTGCCCAGACAAATTCAGATCTTTGAAAACAGCTCTCAATTTCCCCACTCCAACACTCTGCTTCTCCAGTGTTTACTTTGCTAAATGGCCCTGGTCCCTTCACTATCCTGTGTCCTTCCCTCTAGGCAGGAAATTCTCCTGCTTGACAGATGGGAGGGATGGGGGCTGGTCAAGGGTATTGTCCTGTTCATACAAGCCAACGCCACATAGGTCTCATGGCAGCCTCATTACCCTGCTTTCATTTAGAATTCGTAGGCACCTGAAATCCTTAGGGGTGTTTTCATGTGACCTACTGTTAACCCAGAAGGCACCTTGGAATTTCTGAAGCCAAATGCAGGCCTTTCCATTTTTTCCCCTAATACATTTCCTTTTGTTATTTTCCATATAGCATTGCAGGCAGCTTTAACTGCTAAAGCATTCCTCTTATTTAGCTTAAATCTGTCTTCCTGTCACTTCTGACTGTAGTCTAGTGGTCATTTGTCCCACCAGCCTCCTGACCATCATGCAGCCCTGCAAGCTCTCCCAGTAGATGTTTCCCAAGATAAATATGTTCCTGCTCATGTAACTCAACCTCCCATCTCCCTCTCGGGGAATGCTGGTCTCAGACAGAAGTTGGTTTAAGCACCAAGAATCATCAGGGAGCTAAAGGACCAGCAATCGTCTGGTCCATCTTACCCATTTTACAGAGAGAAAGTGACTACAGATTGGGAGAGAAGAGTCACATAGGTCAGTCAGCAGCAGAGGCAGGACTAGAACCCAGGTCCCTTCCTTCTCTCATCCCGGGTCCTTCTTCCCTACCATGGGCAAGTTACTTAAGTATTTTGTGCCTCAGTTTCGTCATCTGTAAAATGGAGTTATTGTGAAGATTAAGTTAGTTAATTCATGTAGAGTGCTTGCAACAGTCTAGTACTTGGTAAGTGTTCACTAAATGTGAACTTTTATGTTATTATTATGCTATGCTGCCTCCTGGTGCAGTAGAAAAGCAGCAGTTACTCTTTCCTCCATTTCCCAGGTAAAAAAAAATAGAGACATCACAATTTTGTAATAAGTGATCCTTCGTATATTAAGAGGAAGCTGCTGCCCTCCCGCCACTGAGGAGTGTATATTTTGAATGGATCTTCCAAGAGGGGAAATTTGGTTGTGCCTAGTCCATCCCTCTGGGCTTCAAGCTCTCTTGAAGCTGGGTTCCTTACTCTCTCCTTTCCCTGAGGGGCAGGAGATGGGGTGATGAACAGGCATGGGTTCAAACCATGGTTTTACTATTTCCCCAATGTGTGACTTTGGACCAGTCTTACTTAACCCTTTTGGAATCTTAGTTTCTTCATCTGCAAAAGGGGAAGTAAATACAATGGAATGTACTGCAGCTGTGAAATAACGAAGCTCTTTATATACTGATATAACACAATCTCCAAGATACATTAAATGAGGGGAAAAAATCAATGTGCAGAACAATCTCTATATTTAGTATGCTACCAAACTTCCAAAAAAAAAGGGAAAAGGAAAACATAAATCTTTTCGCTCATATGTACAGAAAACATCACGATGTACAAGAAACCATAATACTGGATGTCTGGGGTGGGAGTGGAACAGAGGTGAGGAGGTGAAGGACGAGAATAGGGTATATGGGAATCAGTAAAGGAAGACATTTTACTATACTCACTGGTACCTTTGAAGTTTGAACCATATAAATGTATACTGCCTACTCAAAATTTTTTAATTAAAATTTAAAAAGTAAACAAAGAGGGAGGTGAATAATATTCACACTTCATAGAGATGTGGGGGTCTAAATTAAATTAAACATTGCCCCTAAAGTAATTGGTACCATGCCTGGCACATGGTAAGTACATAAACACTGGCTGTCTTTAGAGGTATCAGTTTTACTGACCAACACCCATCTACTGCCTTCACTTTGTATTCTCCCCATCATCAGCCTGTTGCCAGTTAGCTCATGTACTCCCCTCAAGGAAAGCCCAATCTTTTCTTGCCTCCCAGGCTGATATACTGGCTGACCTTTGCTGTGGGCCGCTCCTTCCGAGGCTTTGGCTACGGCCTGACATTCCTGCCCCTGCTGTCCATGCTGGTGTGGAACCTCTACTATATGTTCGTGGTGGAGCCCGAACGCATGCTCACTGCCTCCGAGAGCCGCCTGGATTACCCTGACCACGCCCGCTCAGCCTCAGACTACAGGCCTCGCTCCTGGGGCTAAGCCGCTCCAACCCCTTGCTCCCAGCCCTGGTACCTGGGTGGGATGAACCCACCTACTGCCCCGACAGGGGTCCCATCCAATCAGAGCCTGGACTGTCCCCTGCTCTCCGAGTTGGGGCACTCCCCTTCACCTTTGGAGCCTGGGACAATTAGGCGGGAGGGACTCAGACATT